GGATGATTTGGGGAGGATCCAAGAAAGCAGGAGTTTGAAAGGGGAGTGGGCCTAGCTGGGGTGGCTCAATAATTGAGCATCGACCTATAAATTAGGAGGTCACGGTTTGATTCCCTATCAGGGCACATGCTCGTCTTGCGGGCTCGATCCCCAGTGCAAGAGGCATCTGACTAGTGATTCGCTCTCATCATTGATGTTTCTATCCTTCTCCCCTTCTTTCTTCCTCTCTTTGAAATAAATAAAAATATATTTTTTTAAAAAAAGAAAGGGGGGGAGGATTCTATGATTGGACATTTCAGTAAATTGTATCTTTAGAGAAGGCAAAGTAGAGCTAAGGCTTAAGGCTATAATTGGTAAAGAAGTAGCAGGAACTCATATTAACCAGGAGAGAGGAGTATTTGCTATTTTGCACAGTGATCTTGTTTTTGTCAGTGCTTAGATGAAGTTATGAAGTGGTCTTGTTTTGCTTCATAGTCTCAGAATGATCTTGTCTGATATTAGTAAGATTACTTATGTCCCCCAGGAGAATAACATGGCCTAGCAGCTATAAATATTAGAGCAGTTCCTAGATGCCAGGGCTGGGGGTTTTTGTGTGTTTTTTTTGTTGTTGTTGTTTTTTGTTTTTTACTTCTCATCATTGTACCTAGTACATGGTATTCATGCATTAGTTACTTTTTGAAGTTACTTTCAGATGTCAAGTAAATAAAGAGTTTTTACTGTGTTCTGAAGAACGCTTTTCATGGCCAGGTAGAGGAGAAAGAAGATGGCTGTGCAGGGTGAGAAGTCACACAATCTGTTGTCTGCAAGCTGGAGAACCAGGAAAGCCCATGGCTCAATTCAGCCTTAGTCCAAAGGCCCGGGAACCAGGAGAGCAAGTGGTAATGATAGAAGTCCCAGAGTCTAAAAGCCTGTGAACCAGGTGCTCTGATGTACAAGTGCAGTAAGTGATGGATGCCCCAGCTCAAGAAGAGAGAGAGAATTTTTGAGAAACTTTTACTTTTTAAAAAAATTTTTTTATTGATTTCAGAGAGGAAGGGAGAGAGAGATAGAAACATCAATGATGAGAGAAAATCATTGATCAGCTACCTTCTGCATGCCCCCTACTGAGGATGTGCCCTGCAACCTGGTCATGTGCCCTGACGGGGAATTGAACCATGACCTCCTGGTTCATAGGTTGACACTCAACCACTGAGCCACACTGACCAGGCCTGAGAAACGTTTAAATTGTGTGTTTTTCAATCAGTTTTATCTTTGAATCTTTTAAATACAGTAATAATGCTTCCGGGTGAATTTGGAGAGCATAGTTTGTTTTAAAAGTACTTAATAAAATACTGTACAGCAGCATTTTCCAAAGTACAAGGTGGGCAAAAGTGGATTTACAGTTGTTCATATGGAAAATAATACAATAATTAATCAATAAAAATACAAGAATAAACTGTGTTTCACATACTCATTACTTTTGCCCCACCCCATATTTTCTTCAAAATATGATATATGTCATATATATATATATATGTGTGTGTGTGTGTGTGTGTGTGTGTGTGTATGATTAAGTGATTATGGTTATACCAGTGTGTGTGTGTGTGTGTGTGTATATATATATATGGTATAACCATAATCACATAGTTCCTTTATGTGTTCCTAAAAAGGGAGCAGGGATGCGCTCAGTGGTTACATAGGTTTTGAAAATGCATCATGATGTACATTAAGCTCTGAGAAAGGCTGTGATTTAAAAGATTAAAAACTCTTTCAACTTCTTTTAACCAAATATTTTCTAAGCTCCTCTAACCCCACCAACTAGCACTCCATTTTGAGAAATGCTGCTATATAGAGTTGATTAATACAAGTTTTAGAGCAAAACATTTTCATCAGATTGCTTTTGCATATTATTAAGGAGGTAACTGACATTTCTCTGCATCTAGTTGTCACAAGAACCTTTTCAAAGGCAGTGTTGGCTACAATGTTAGTGTAGTCAGACCGTGGTCTTTAACTGCCTTCAATGGTGCGGCAACCTATATTGCCCAGTAAGTGTTAACCCTTGGTTCATCTCACAGTTTGTACACCACCAGTCCAGTTGCTGGACTTCCGGGTGACATATCTGAACAATATAGTTTGTCATCTTAGCACTGTAACTCACTACACCTACTTTTTTAATAAACAATTTTCTTATTAATTTAAATATATTGGTAAAGTGTCAGTCTTGCTGGATCTTCTTGTATTGTGCTCCCGTATTTATTGTAGCCTGTTTGTAGTAAATTTCTGAAGGAGCCCTAGAGCTGGAATAAATTCATCCCTTCCCTATCTTTAGCCAGGGAAAGGTGGGAATTAGGTGTTTCTTGCAAATAGAGATGAACCCTGCCATTCTCAAAGTGAGAGGCAGGCAACTTTACCCCTGAGTAATGGAAGCTGTAAAATATTAACCAGACATGTTCTTTGATGTATTCAATAAACATTTACTAAATGCCTGCTTTATACCAGAAGCAACCAGTCCTTGTTGCCCTCAAAGAGTTGAATCTAATTGTTGAGACAGCAGTTGTGTAAATGATAAATATTAAAAATGCAGTATGCTTGGTGTTATAATAAATAGATTTAGGAGGCTTTGGGGACCCAACTTAGATTCTGAGCTTTGGTGAAGGAACTAGAAAAGTCTGAGTCTGGAGGATAAGTAGCATTTGGTCATGCAGGTCAGGGGATAAAGGACATCACTGATAGGACAACTTGTGAAAAGGCGTAGGGTTGCCCTAACCGATTTGGCTCAGTGGACAGAGCGTCAGCCTGTGGACTCAAGGATCCCGGCTTCGATTCCGGTCAAGGGCATGTACCTTGGTTGCGGGCACATACCCAGTAGAGAGTGTGCAGGAGGCAGCTGATCGATGTTTCTCTCTCATTGATGTTTCTAACTCTCTATCCCTCTCCCTTCCTCTCTGTAAAAAATCAATAAAATATATATTTTTTAAAAAGGCATGGGGTTGTGAAAAGTAAGGTGCTTGGAGATGCAAGTAGATTTGTTCTCATCTAGGGTATTTATGGTAGCAGGGTGGAGGAAGAGGCCAGAAGGAAAGAAGAAAAGGAAGGAAGGAAGGAAGGAAGGAAGGAAGGAAGGAAGGAAGGGAGGGAGGGAGGGAGGGAGGGAGGGAAGGAGGGAGGGAGGGAGGGGAAGGAGCTCAGTAGTTCATGGCCATAATTGCTATGTTAGGCAGAGAATTTAAAAGACTATCCATAGATGGTTCTTAATATGTGCTAGAACTTTTCATATAATAAATAAGTTAATGAAAATTAATATTGAGTAAAGTTGCTAAATTACTTAAATTTAATGTGTATTTCCAGATGTCAGAGTAATCATTACTTCATGTTTATAATACCTTATTGATGATTTGTAGGACTTATCACTTAATAAGTTACCCTCCTATAAGTACATTAGCTCTATTCTTTAAAAATCAGTTTTATTGAGATATAGTTTATTTACATCAGTTTTTTATTGTATATACAATTCAGTGAGTTTTGACAATGTATTGAGTCACATAACCACTACTCCTCTAAACATGATATAGTATATTTTCATCACCCTGCATTCACTTTTAATCAGAGTTTGGTAAACTAAATAAATTAACTCTTTGAACCCGGGAAGAGGTACTATCTGAAGAATAGAGAAATAAAAAAAACTGTCAACTTTTAAACCAGCCCCCAAATTTTACTTTCTATGAAACCCACACACAAAGAGAAGCTTCCTTGCCCTGGCCAGTGTGTTCAGTGGTTAGAACTTCGGCTCATGCACCAAAGGGTTGTGGGTTTGATCCTGATCCCTGGTCCCGGTCAGTACGCGTGTGGAAGGCAACCAGTTGATGTGTCTTTCTCACGTGAATCTCCCCCCCCCCCACTCTCTCTACACCCACTCCTCTAAAACCTTCTTCCCTCCCTTCCACACTCTTTAAAAATTAATGGGGAAAAAATCCTTGGGCAAGGATTAATAACAACAAAAAAAGAAGAGAGAGAAGCTCTCTGTACAGTGCTACTTTGGGGGCTTTTGTCTCTTGAAATCTTCAGAAGGAAAAGGAAGAAGAAGTTGCCTATAGCCCTGGCTGGTGTGGCTTAGTTGGTTAGAGCACTGAAGTGTAACAGGTTTGATTCCTGATTAGGGCACATACCCAGGTTGCAGGTTCAATCCCCAGTTGGGACACATAGGGGAGGTAACCAATCAATATTTCTCTCACATCAGTGTTCCTCTCTTTCTCTCCCCCACCCCCATTTTCTCTCTCCCTCTCCTTCTAAAATCAATGAAAATCATATCCTCAAGAGAAATTAAAAACAAAAAATTTCTTGAAAAGCAAAAGGGGAGTTGTCTACATAATGACTGGTGTAAAGCTATATAAAGATGTTTGGGGGAAGAAACAACCACAAGAAAATAAAACGAAAATTATAAATACTGAACTGGAAACATCATACTTGAAGTCTAGCGAATAGCTCTGGTACTTCATAGCAGAGAGTTGTAGCAGCAGTTTCATTTGTCTGAGGACTTAGTTTTCTCACTCATGGTGAAATGAATGGCACATTTCAAGCTGTATTATACTGAACTGTAGAGTTTTATGAGGTGTGGATAGGAGTAATAGGTTGGGGACAGGAGAATTAGGAATAAGGGCTAAATTTTAACCTGGGGAATAGTTGGACTTAGGTTCGATGCTGGCAAATAGGGAAGACAGTGCATTCCTCCCTCCCCACCCCTTAATTGTACTTCCATATATTAAGTTTACCTTTTATTGACTTGTTATAGCATAGGAGGTTAGGAGACTTTTCTAAACAGAATTCTACCTGTATTTGTGATTTGTTATGGATAGGTACAAGTTTCTCTAGGAGAATGAATATTGTCATTAAACCATCAGGTTTATTTTTTCCCCAAAAAGTTATTACATATAAGAATAAAATATATATTTACATATAAGAGGTATGAAGATTCATATTTCTAAACAATTATTTTATCCATCTTATTTGTTTGTTTTAACCAGTTACCCATGGGTGTATTGTTTCCACAATAAAACTTTTTCTACCAGATGGCATGGAAGCCCGACTCCGCTCAGAGTGAGTATAATTCAGTGCTATAAAATTTTGTTTTAATTACCTTGGTTAATAATATTATAGATGATGGTGTACCATTAATACTTTAGGATTATTCTAACAATGTTAGAAAATTCATATATTACTTTTGGACTAATGCACTTCACTTTGTTTTTAATATTAGTTGTAATTCTAAGTAGGCAATAATGGAAGCACAGGTTACATTTATGCTTCCAAATTTAATTATGCAGTTTATATTTTGATGAATAAATTAGTTGTTTTCTAAAATACTTAGGATATATAAGTTATTGGTGAGTGATAGCTACATTCATTTTGACCTGCATATAATGTAGGGCTTCTTAGACTATGATTGCCTCCGAGGTTAGTGCCGGTGTCACAATCTTATAGAACCTTAAGGATGTTGATATAGTTAGTAGTACATTTTGGTGGGCTTTTTTGGAGAGATTTTTCAGTGCTGTAATTTTTTTTTTAAATTGATATCAGAGAGGAAGGAAGAGGGAAAGTGAGATAGAAACACCAATGATGAGAGAGAATCAGCTGCCTTCTGTACACCCCACACTGGGGATCGAGCCCACAACCTGGGCATGCTCTCTGACTGGAAATCGAACCTTGACCTCCTGTTCATAGGTTGATGCTCAACCACTGAGCCACACCAACAGGACTTTTTTAGAGATCATTTAGAGAAGGACAAATCTAAAAGAAAAATAATTAGTCAACATCTAAATGTTAATATGAAACATAAGTACATTTTGACTTGTACTTTTCACAGATTATCATTATGAGGTGTTGGAGGAAGCTAAATAATCTAAAATTCAGCATTTTTTATTTTGGGGGAAAACCTTGAATATGCTAGAAGTTTGTTTCTATATCTAATATAATATTTTCTGCTTTTCAAAAGCAGAGAAAAAGATCTAAGGGTGGGAGGTTGAGAGAACCAACGTGTAAGGCAAAGTATAGAGTAGTCAGTAGGAAAGAGATATGGAAAAAGAAAGCAGAATGCATAACCCATGGGCACAGACCATAGGGTGGTGGAGGCCTGGGGTGAGGGGCGGGCGTAGGTTATAAGGGATCAATGGGAGAAAAAAAAGGACATATATAATACTTTCAACAATAAAGATTTTTTAAAAAGAGGGTATGCCAATCTTATAAAAAGAAAAAGAAAAAGAAAGCAGAGAGAAAACTTCCTATTACTGTGATAGTCTGTTCATTCATTAGAATGATATATTACTCTTCAGTTAGAAGCTACCAAGTTTTTTTTTTTTTTAGCTTCAAGGATAACTGAAGCAAAGCAGAAATTTTAAAACTTTATAAATTTAGCCCTGCCAGTGTGGCTCAGTTGATTAGAGCAATGTACTGTGTACCAGAGGATGGTGGGTTCATCAGGTCACATGCCCAGATTGCAGGTTCCATCCTCATTTGGGACGTGGGCAGGGAGGTGCCAGTTGATGTTGTTTTTCTCTCATATCATTGTCCTTATCTCCCTCCCTCCTTTCCTTCCTCGCTCCCTCCCTCTCCCCCCTTCTTCAATAAAAAAATAAAATTAAATAATTTTTAAATGACACTATAAGTTTAATAATAAAATTAAAGACATTATAAATTTAAGACATTAATGTTTCCTATTTTTAATGATAGTTTAATTATTAAAAATAAAATTAACTTTGGGAACTTGATTGTGACTCAGCTTTTATGAGTTAAGATTTTAAAAAGAAGAGTAACTGTTAATCAACTAATGAAGTATGGCTTCTTAAAGACCTTGATGTTTGTATTTGATAATGAGATTTTCCTCTCCTTTAGTCAAAAGTTTTGAGCAATTACATAAAGGGTCATCTGTGTTCTAGGTTTCACCCAGTAGGACATGTGAATTTTTTCAAAATTTATTTCAGAGAATTGTGTCACTATCCCTCTTGTTTCCCCAAAACTTTTCATCTTTGCCCAATTTCCTTCTCATTGTTTGATTTTATTTATGTGGTTAAATATTAGCATCACTTAAAATTTACTGTCAATTTCATTGTAAATAATCTGGCTTACTTTATGGATGAGATGAATTTTGAACAGGCATGTCTCTAGAGCTGGAGGAAGGTCAGAATCGTCTTTAAAGGAGGATGGTCCAGTTCAAGGCCTGTTCTGTGACTTGATCAGGCCTTCCTTTTCTCATTTGAAAATGAACATAGCCCTGGCCTGTGTGGCTCAGTTGGTTGGAGCGTGGTCCAGTACACCAAAAGATGGGTTCGATTCTGGATCAGGGCACATACCCAGATTGGGGATTCAATCTCCAGTTGGGGCTCATGTGTGTGGGAAGCAACTGATCAATGGTTTTCTCTAATATTGATGTTTTTCTCTCTTCCTCCCTTCCTCTAAGATTGATTAGGAAAAAAAAAGAAAATGGAGATAATAACCTATTTAGCAGGAATTTTATGAGGAGGATTAAACAAGGTTGCGTACTTAAAAGAGAGTAATACCTGGTATATAATAAGCACATGTTGTTTCTTTTATTGTAATTTAATATTTTTAACAATCAAGATGCTTTTAAGTATGCAAAAATACTTAGAGTTGAAGGGACATTGTATACATAGCATTGAATGCTTTTAAAGTCTTCAGTAGTTCTGAAAAAGTTTATTCTTTTTCCTCCTTGATTTTTATTATATTGTACAAATAATTTTTATTGATTTATTTGAGAGAGGGAGGGAAGGAGGGAAGAAGAGAGAGAGAGAGAAATTTGTTGTTCCACTTATTTATACATTCATTGATTCTTTTATGTGCTCTGACCAGATATCAAACCCAAACACTTGGGGTATCTCATGAAGACGCTCAGACCAACCGAGCTGCCTGGACAGGGCTTTACAAATAATTTTTAAATGATAAGAAACAAACCCCACCACCCTAACACTAAATAACAATTTTCCTTTTCTACCTTTCTTGTTGCATATGAACTTTTTCCATAATTCAAATAGAATATATCCATATCCAAGATAGTTTTGGTACAGTACAAATATATATCACTTATAAAATGTTTTGATTTTTAGCTTTTTAAGATTTTCACGAGAACAAATAATTTGTACTTGAGTCACTAAGAAAACTGGAGTTGTACATAATTTTTTAGATCTTCATTAGGCACCAGCTTTGTTAGGGTCTTCTGATAGGTTCTGGGGATAGAGAGATGAATTGGTCACAGTCCTGGGGAACACAGATGGGAATCAAACAAGGAGAGTAAAGGATTATAAGGTCTCAGTGAGAGTCTGTACAGGACGTCTATCAAAGGTGCTCAGAAGGGAGAGAGGTGCTGGTACTTAACGTTCCTTTTCGTTCAGCACTTTAGAATATTCATGATTAATTGAAACAGTTTTTTAGGATGTTTGCACTTACTACAATGGGATCAGAATTGTCATTTCTATTTTTAAGTCCTGAAAGATCAGTTTCTCAGGGGCTTACATATGATTAACCAATTGAATCTAGGGGTTTTACCCAGTCAGCCTTCAAGCTGACTCACCAGAGTGACCTCTAGGATATGGTGCCATTAGAAACTGGTAGGGGACATGGATGGCATCCTTGCTCTTTGCTCCCTCTGCTCAACTCCAGCCCACATACATCATCTTACAGGACATTGTAAGATAGGAACCCTGGCTTTCTTATGCTGCAGTGTTCTGATGGGAGTGGTAGTAGTGATCAAGTGCTATAGTGCCCTAGGTACTGTTTTAAACTCTTTATTTATACTAGCACATTCAGTATTCACAATAACCCATGGGGTTGGTTTTATGATTATTCCCTTTGTATGGATGAGAAAGCTGAAACCCAAGATTACACAGCTGGTAAGTAGAACAGGACCCAGTCAGTGTAACTTCTGAGCCTGCCTGCTTAACTGTCATACTTCACTGCCTCTCTGTCAGTAGTAACTTTATAAGGCCAAAAGACAATTAGTACCAGTTAATACTATCTGTTTACTGTTTATCTTTAAGAGGATATACTGAGTTTAGTTTCATACCTACATCTAAGCTTTCAGTTGTTAGTCGTGTGAGGCGGCTGGGTGGAGAAGACTAGGACTACTCTTTTGATTAGCTAAAGTTGTTCTGTACTCAAACAGGCTTCCAAAGTATAGCTTTCTTTTCAATAGAACTATGTTTTTTAAGAATTTCTGTATAGGAATATTTAATTTTAAAAGAACTTAATTTACATGTTCCAAAATGGATAATTTGGAGTGCTTCTTTTTCATATAGAAATTGGAAATGGATAATTTAAGGAGTGCTTCTTTTTCATATAGAAGTTCTTATGACCAAGGAATTCACCATAGCTCTTATTAAGTAGAGGATTCTTAAAGAGTATTTAATACATTGTGGATTTTGAATTTGTGTTTAGAAATATATTTTGTATGAAAGGTTTGTATATTATCTTATTTTCTATGAAGGATTAAAAATAATTCACGTTCTTTTAATCATGTAAAGGCAATTATATGTCAACTTTAGGGTTTAAGATATTCTGGTTCTGTCATACTCTGTTTCCTCTGTTGTCCGGAAATTAGATAAAAATTCTAATTTTTACTTTTCAGTGTCATCCATGCTCCATTACCAAGTCCTGTTGACAAAGTAAGTTGCCAATGATTGTTTTTTTACAAACTAACTCAGCTCTATTGCTTTGAAAAATGTTTCTGTTTGTTTTTAATATGCTTTACTTAGAAACTTATTTCTCTTTTGTAACAAAGCCTATAGAATGCATATAGATATATGGTTGCTGTAGTCTTCTGATCTTCAATATCTGGAGAATTTAGACTGGATGTTTCTTAGGAAAAAGCCTTTGTTATCTCAAGTAAATGGCTATGTAGACTAGAAGTACTTGTTTTGTGCCTAGCCAAAAGTAAAAAGTGTTTGTTACTACTCTTTATTTTGGAATACAGTTCTGTCTCGAAGTATTTATTAAAGCTTTCTGCACAGAGACTTCACTCTACATATATCTACACATAGAAATAACACAGAAATATGGGCTTATAGAAATTCCTCTTTTATTGTCCTTGGAGATTGATCAGTTTTAGCCTGATTTGGTCAGAAATTTTGCAATAATTACTTGTTAGAAAATATTTTTTCTTTTGTTCAGAAATAATGGTGTATTAAACTGTAGATATCATTGCTAAATAGTGAAGGAAAAACCCCCCAAGCATCTTTTGTATCTTTTGACATTAATGTATAGTGAGTTTTCTTAGTGCAGGAACTAAACTATTGGGGAAAACATTTTACAGTTTTTTCTTCCATTTGGATAAAGAATGAAAGCCTGTTTGAAGCAAAAGTGCTCTGTTAGATTCCTTTTTTAGTAGTAAAAGTGGTTAGTCACCAACTTCAGGAATACCAAGAATTATTTCAGAAGTAAATGATGGCATTGCTGATTTAGGACTAACTTTAAAAAATAATGCCGCCTTTCTGTCTTCTTGCTAGCATATTAATAAATATGAGCCTAATCAAGAATGACTCTACTAGTGATCATGAATAACTTGGTAATGGTGTGATCATGAATAAATTAAGATATGAGGCTTGGTAGTGTTGAGAGTGTGGGTAAATGTCTCAGCAACCTATTAGTGCCCGTCTTTTGTTTGTTGTTGTTTGGAATAATGCCATGGTTTTATATTCCACACTTGGAAGAAACCCATTATGGCAGGTATTTGTTCTTATACTCTTGAGTTCTAAGCATTTGACTGTTACTTGTAATGTTTAAACACCATAATTTCCCATCTTTTTCTTCTTAAAACCGACCTGTAGTTTAAAGGGGGGGAAAAGACAAAACTATTTTCGTTGCCTATGGCCATTGGATTCAGTGTTACATTTCATGTCTTTCTTCTCCCTGTACCCTCACATACAAATACCATTTTGAAGATGGCTACTTCTAAATGAATTGTGACTTATTGACATATTAAAGAACTATTTAAATATAAATTTGAAAGGGGAGGGAAATGTAGATAGATCTATTGATTTAGGTGGTATTATTTCTGTATTAAGAAAAGGCTCTGTAGCTATAAGTTTGTGATTTGGTTTATAAGGAATATTTTCATGAGAAAGACTTGTTCTATCATCCTTCTTATAAATCTCAAACTGGCCAGCATGATAAATACTACTTATAAATTCTAGACATAGGGCAGAAATATTTTGAAAACTAAAGGAACTGGTTAATTTGAAAAAAATTATTTTGCATTATTTCGTGAATGGGCATTTTTGGGACTTGGTTTGGCTTTAAAGTCTTTTATAAATATTTTGTATGACTGTTGATACTGTCATTTTGTTTCTAGGTTGCTGCTAACACTCCAAGTATGTACTCTCAGGAACTATTCCAGCTTTCTCAGTATCTACAGGTAAAAATAAAGCTTAAGAATTCTTAGTCTTTAAAAGTAAAATTAAACAACTTAGGTTTGATTTTGTTAGTTCACAAATATAGGCTAAAGAAATATTGGTTACATATAAATACTAAATAAATACCTTTTCATAGTAAAAAAAAAAAGGATTACAAATAGGTCTTAAGAAGAAAGGATAAAAAAAGAGGCTTGTTAAGTCTAGAGAAGATAAGGTTCTGTTTGCAAGAGAAGTTTTTTCTTCAGATATGAGGATGTGTCAGAAAAAGTTCTTTACCTATAGATGACTTTTAAATAAAAGTAAACCTGGAGAGATGGTTGCTTAATATGATATTAAGAGCAAATAATTATATAGTACTTATTACATGCCACACTTCACCTAATTAATTCACTTAATCCTCACAGCAATCCTATAAGGTATGTATTTTATTCCCATTTTTATGGATGGAGTAACTGAGGGACATTACACACCTAGTATGTGTTAGAGTTGGAATTTGAATGCACATAGTCAAATCTCAGAGTCTCTGCTCTTAACGACTGTGCTGTGCTGCTGGCTCTATGAAAAAGTTTCTTCATAGGGCAGATACTTGCAAAGGAAGTTAATACCATACTTAAAGAGCCATACAAATCTCTAAAAAGGAAACAAATATTAGTTTCTTCCTGGTTTTCGTAGATTTGGGCTGGGTTATGATTCTTCTTATTCTGGTGAGGGAGCATGGTTAAGGAAAACCCTGGATCCAGAATTTAGAGATTGAGGTTTTTATCTTGGTTCAGCTACTCAAGGAGTTCTGTGACCTTGGGTGAGTCATTATGTTGCAAGTCTTCAGTTGCCTTTTGTTTAAAACAATAGAACTAAACCAGTGATGCTGGGTCCCTACATTCTTTTATAGGAATCAGTTAGAACAGTCCTACCTCAGTTAAGAATGTACACATCTTTGAAAATAAAATTATCAATGTATTAATCAGATCTTATCTTCCACTGGGGATCATGTAATGGTGCATAGAAAAGCAGCTTTACACACTTGGAGTTTAGTCGAGTATTTAAGAGCGTAGACTCTAGCCAGAATTCCCTGGACTTGATATGTGGCTTTACCTCCTGACCTGTTGGAAAAGTTGTTTAATTCTTTTGTGCCCCATTTTCCTCACCTGTGATATGGGTATAGTAATAGCACTTACCTTGCAGGATTGTGAAGAGTAAATGAATTAATATATCTAAAGCACTTAAAACAGTGCCTGGCACATGGAATATATTCCATAAATGTTAGTAGTTGTTTACCATACAGTAAGAAAGCACAATAATTGACCTAGATCGCTCATATAGAGAGATGGAAGTAAACTTTGAGATTAATTTAGTCCAAACGTCATTTTTCATATGAGAAATCTGGGGCTCCTATAGGTAAAATGATTTCCCAAGGCTATACACTTTTGTTATTAGTCATCGTGGATGGTGAATCCAATCACTCAAGTACTCTAACTTTCTTACCAGTTTTTTAAATACTCATAGTAGGAGTAATCTTTCAATGGTCTTTTATTAATTTGCTGAGAGAAAATTATACTGCACTGACTTTTCTGTATACATATTTTTGAATTGGTAAAGTTCTAATGTAAGTTGTAAACCTTTTGAATAAAAACTAGAATAGATGCAATTCATCCCTTAGAACCAAAAGCCTATTCCTGAAAGTATTAGATTTATGTTAGGACTTGGTTCGTGGAGTTATGAAGTTTTAAGTCAGATTGAGTAAAAAAAAAAAAAGTGTGATTACACCATCTAGTGCAGTGGTTCTCAACCTTCCTAATGCCACGACCCTTTAATACAGTTCCTCATGTGGTGACCCCCAATTTCATTGTTACAAATTGAACATAATTAAAGCATAGTGATTAATCACAAAAACAATATGTGATTATATATGTGTTTTCCGATGGTCTTAGGTGACCCCTGTGAAAGGGTCGTTCGACCCCCAAAGGGTCGCGACCCACAGGTTGAGAACCGCTGATGTAGTGGAAGTAGTGGTTGTTTGGTGGTTTTGTTTTTAAGTAAAATTTGCAGCTCGAGTGTACTTCCTGAATATTAGGAATGTTTTAGAAGTTTAAAATAAACTTGGCAACTAGTCTCTTATAAGTGTTAGCTGTGTTTTAATGTGGGTTCTGGGCAGGATGGCTTTTATTAGATTCTTTAATCTATACTCTTAGAGTTATATTAAAAACCAGTACTCTAATTCCAATTAGACCAGATTTTTCCTAAACATTATTTATCAAGGATGTGGAGAGCAATAAGTGCATGCTTTAAACCTCAAGTATTGTATTTGAAGCATATGCTTCTTTGTTGAGGTGGCTCAGAGGTATTAGGGTGGTAAGTGTTCTTCTTTAGGTAATAACAGAAATAGAAGAAATGAAGTTTAAAGATATGCCAAAGCCACAACTGTGTGAACATTTCCACCTTGACTTCCATGAAGGAGACCCTCTTAATAGCTATCAAATATTAACAAGTGACCTAGAGATAAGGCTTTACTTGCCAATGTCTTTCTCTGTAAAAACGTTTCTTTGCAGCTGCCAAGTAGTTATATAACTCCTTGACTCCTTAATACTTAATTCAACAAGTACTTGGATTCTTAACTTATTTTTGGCATATTTAATTGCTAAGTCGTATACAGTCACAGAGATAATCAAGACACCTGCAAATGCTGTAGGCTTTGGGAGTGAAGTAATTTCTATTATGTGTTTTTTTAAATAATGTATATATATTTATATGTGTATATATATATAACATTTTAAACAGGAAAAATTAAAAGATACTTTTGTTTTAGCTGTCATACCCATGCAGCTAACCCATTAAGATGTATTTGCTCCCAGCCTTTGTGGCTCAGTTGGTTGAGTGTAGTCCCACGCACCAAGAATTTGCTGGTTCAGTTCCCCATCAGGGTGTATGCCCAGGTTGCAGGCTTGATGCCCAGTAGGGGGCGTGCAGGAGGCAACCAAGCGCTGTTTCTCATTGATGTTTCTATCTCCTTTTCCTTTCCTCTCTCTCAAAATCCATACAAGCATTTTTTTTTTAAAAAAAGAAGTATTTGACAAGATTGTTTTTTTTTTTTTTTTATTGCTTAAAGTATTACAAAGGGTATTACATATGTGTCCATTTTATCCCCCCGCCCTAGACAGTCCCCTAGTCTCCCCTATCCCCCAATGTCTTATGTCCACTGGTTATGCTTATATGCATGCATACAAGTCCTTTAGTTGATCTCTTACCCCCCTACCTCCTGCCCCGCAACCCTCCCCGGCCTTCCTGCTGCAGTTTGACAATCTGTTTGAGGCAGCTCTGCCTCTGTATCTATTATTGTTCAAAAGTTTATAATGGTCTCTATTATCCATGAATGAGTGAGATCATGTGGTATTTTTCCTTCATTGACTGGCTTATTTCACTTAGCATAATGCTCTCCAGTTCCATCCATGACGTTGCAAATGGTAAGAGTTCCTTCCTTTTTAGAGCAGCATAGTATTCCATCGTGTAGATGTACCACAGTTTTCTAATCCATTCATCTACTGATGGGCACTTAGGCTGTTTCCAGATCTTAGCTATGGTGAATTGTGCTGCTATGAACATAGGGGTGCATATATCCTTTCTGATTGGTGTTTCTGGTTTATTGGGATATATTCCTAGAAGTGGGATCACAGGGTCAAATGGGAGTTCCATTTTCAGTTTTTTAAGGAAACTCCATACTGTCTTCCATAGTGGCTGCACCAGTCTGCATTCCCACCAGCAGTGCACAAGTGTTCCTTTTTCTCCACATCCTCTCCAGCACTTGTCGTTTGTTGATTTGTTGATGATAGCCAGTCTGACAGGTGTGAGATGGTACCTCATTGTTGTTTTGATTTGCATCTCTCGGATGATTAGTGACTTTGAGCATGTTTTCATATGTCTCTTGGCTTTCTGAATGTCCTCTTTTGAAAGGTGTCTATTTAGGTCCTTTGCCCATTTTTTGATTGGATTGTTTATCTTCCTTTTGTTAAGTTGTATGAGTTCCCTATAAATTTTGGAGATTAGGCCCTTATCGGATATGACATTGGCAAATATGTTTTCCCACACAGTGGGTTTTCTCGTTGTTTTGTTGATGGTTTCTTTTGCTGTGCAGAAGCTTTTTATTTTGATGTAGTCCCATTTGTTCATTTTCTCTTTAGTTTCAAGTGCCCTAGGAGCTGTATCAGTGAAGAAATTGCTTCGGCATATGACAAGATTGTTTTGACTTAGTTTGCCATAAGTTTGATTAGCTTATGATATTGAGAAGATTGAATTGATTGATTTAAAAAGATATTTTTGTTGATTTTTAGAAAGAGAGAGGAATATCAATGGGAGAGGGAAACATTGATCGGCTGCCTCCTGCACACCCCCTATTGGGGATCAAGCCCTGACCTAGTATTGAACTGGCAACCTTTTGGTGCCCTGGATGATGACCAACCAACTGAGCCACACTGGCCAGAGCGGATTGATTGATATTTATAAAATTTGAGGTTAAAACATTTGTTGGAACCCTAATTGGTTTGGCTCAGTGGATAGAGCGTCGGCCTGCGGACTCAAGGGTCCCAGGTTCGATTCCGGTCAAGGGCATGTACTTTAGTTGTGGGCACATCCCCAGTAGGGGGTGTGCAGGAGGCAGCTGATCGATGTTTCTCCCTCATCAATGTTTCTAACTCTCTATCCCTCTCCCTTCCTCTCTGTAAAAAATCAATAAAATATATTAAAAAAAAAATTTGTTGGATTCTTCTACTGTGGGTTTTTGTTTCTGTGTGTGTATTTTTTAACTCTTGTGAATTATGAGTTAAAAAAAAACCAAGGTGACTTGTGTTCTGTTAAAACAGAAGTTGCTGTTAGAGCACACCTAACGGTAGTACTTGCAGCCAAACAAATGAGGCTAAAATGATGTGACCTGTATATGTATATTTTACAAAGTAGATTTATCATGTTTGAAAGTAAGATACAAAGTGGAATGTAATATGAGAGTATTTTCAGAATGTGCTAAAAATTAATTACTCTTCAAAGGAATCAAGGTGAGTTTATTAGAATCTCTTGTGCTTTGTAATATTAGGAGGCCTTACATCGGGAACAGATGTTGGAACAGAAGCTAGCCACGCTTCAGCGGCTACTAGCCATCACCCAAGAGGCTTCCGATACCAGTTGGCAGGTATTCCAGTTGCCTTTATTTACAAGAAGCATTTAAGTTTAATGTCCCTTAGATGTTGATAAAACTAAAATTTTGTAGCAAGCAAAAACAAAGTTTTTTTTCTAATGAACAAATAATGAAAACTTAGCATTTTACACTGGATATTGGTCAGTTTTATGATTTTCTTTTTTGGGCAGTGGCAGTCTTTTTGATATGTTATTTTTTAAATTGCTCTTGGATTTTATTTGTATTTGATTTTTCTTCAACAGGCTTTAATAGATGAAGATAGACTCTTATCACGGTTAGAAGTTATGGGAAACCAATTACAGGCATGCTCCAAAGTAAGTATTAATCTCAAGTACATAAAGAAAAATACGTACTTTTTATGTAGCTTCAATTTTTTGTCATTTTAAGTACATGCTAAAAACAATTATACATTTTCACTGTTCTTTTAAATCCTTTGTCATTATGGGAAATTTCAAACATACATGTATGTAGAAAGAATTGTATAGTGAATACCCATGTACAACTCTTTATCTTTTTTCACAGTTGATATTTGTTGAAGAATCTGGGTCATTTGTCCTCTATGATTCCTCTCATTCTGGATTGTTATTTAAACATTCTTCTAGCCCAGCCAGTGTGACTCAGTGGTTGAGCGTCGACCTGTGAACCAGAAAGTCACAGGTTCGATTCCGATGAGGGCACATGCCGGGTTGCAGGCTCGATCCCCAGTGTTTCTCTCTTTCTCTCTGAAATTAATAAAAATATATTAAAACAAACAAAAACATTCTAACTCCCCATCCCATACCATAAATTGGTAGTTTGATCTAGAGATTTGATTTGACTTAGCTTCGGTTTTTTTTTATGTGTGTGTGTTTTTATTTTGCCAATTCACTTCATGAGTGGTATTGTGTACTTTTACCAAGAGGTATCATATGTCTAGTTGTCTTTCTTTTGGGGATATTAGCAGTCATTGATGATCCTTGCCTACATCTATTGTTTTATTCAGGGTTGTAAAAATAGTGATGTAATTTTATCATCCCTTCATTTACTTGGTTCGCCTGAAGTACACTTTCTTTAGGAAAAAGCAGGGTAAATGGGTTTCTCCCTTTATTACTAGATTTCAAAATAACGAATTGGTTCCTTCTTATCCACCAAAGAATGATCATGAACTGTTTTCTCCCCTTAGATTTAATACATTTGGTGTATTTCGTCCTATAGTGTTTGTTTTTCTTATTGATGCACAATTACCCCATCATTGATCCATGAGAAGTTCATGTTGGCACCTGAGTCCTTTTGATAGAACCCTAGCAGACTCTGTCTGATAGCTTCCTGCTTTCATATCAGACAAGACATTCCAGGCTCATCAGACAAGACATTCCAGGCTCATCAGACAAGACATTCCAGGCTCATCTTGTACATTTCCTGCCTCAGACTTCAGATCAGCTTTTCCCTGTGGTGGTCTTACTCCTTTTGGTTTAACCATTGTTTTAAAATGCATGGGCCCTTTGAAGGTGATAGATTATTTTTGTCCACAAATGTAAATATTGTGGCTTACAGAGAATATGAAAAATAGCAGAGATAATTCATTTTGTATAGTTGAGAGAAATTCTTAATTGTCTTTGATTTTTTTTTCTGTTGGAAGTATGAATATATTTGTGAAGGATAATTTACTAATGAAACCTTTTATTGATTGATTGATTTTATTGATTTTAGAGAGAAAGGAAGGGAGAGAGAGAGAGAGAGAGACATTGATTTGTTGTTCCACTTATTTATGCATTCATTGGTTGATTCTTGTATGTGACTTGACTGGAGATCAAAGCTGCAGTCTTGGCGAATCAGAACAACACTCTTAACAAATGAGTTACCTGGCTAGAGCACTAATGCACCTTTTAAATACAACCTCATTTAATTACAGAGCCAACACCATCTGTGTTTGAAGGTATAGTAAACCCTTGATTTTTTGGACCTTGATTTAATGAATTTCAGATTTAATGGACAGAATTTCTGGTCCATAGGTGAAAATTAACATCCTGTTAATTTTAAAATGTTTTTAACCAAGATTTGCTTATAATTAAATTAATGGGTGTGTTTTATTTTGTTATTAATTCACTATGATTTTTAACAAATTTTAGCAAATAGGCCGTCCGTTGGAGAAAACACTGTAATAATTTCACCGACATAAATAAGTATTACATATCTGCAATTCTGGCCTACATATTTAAACCCAAAAGTCACCACTTGTAAATAATTTTAGCATGTGATCACTTTGCCTTGCTTGCGATAATTGGTTCTGTTTTCTTGGGGCCTGACTTTCTGCAGCAGTTTCTTTGTCCTTTTTTTTGTTTGTTTTTGATTGATTTCAGAGAGAGGAAGGGAGAGGGAGACAGGGATAGAAACATTAGTGATGAGAGAGAATCATTGATTGGTTGCCTCCTGCACTCCTCGCCCCCTACTGGGGATTGATTCTGTAACCCATGCATGTGCCCTGATAAGGAATCAAACCATGACCTCCTGGTTCATGGGTTGATGATTAACCACTGAGCCACACTGGCTGGGCTTTGCAGCAGCTTTAACTCCTACTGGCTAGGCCACACCCCAGCCATGTGTATTTGTTTACTCATGGTGATTGGTGAATGCACATGTTTATTAGACCTATTTATTATAAATTTAAAATTACATAACGCATAAAAAACTTTTCTGTGAAATTAAACTTTTCATACATACTTAATTTTAATTACACAAACATGTCTACATAAATAAAACATGTAAACTAATTTGTTAATTTTTAAAAAATATTTTTAATTGATTTCAGAGAGGAAGGGAAGAGGGAAAGAGAGCTGTAGAAACATCATTGATGAGAGAGAATCATTGATTGGCTGCCTACTGCACCCCCATACTGGGGATCGAGCCCGCAACCCAGACATGCACCCTGACTGGGAATCGAACCATGACCTAGTTCCTAGGTTGATGCTCAACCACTGAGCCACGCCAGTTGGGCAAATTTGTCAAATTTTTAACATAATGTATTCAGGAAACCTTTATTATATTACAGACTTTAGACTTTAACAACACCCCCTCACCCAAATTAGTTTGTTATATCAAGGTTTTACTGTATCTTCATATAGAATTCAAAGAGCATCATAATTTGTTATTTTTTCAAATGGTAAATACTTTCAAAAAATAACTTGGCTATAATTATAAATATCTTTTAATCCTAGAATCAAACAGAAGATAGTTTACGGAAAGAACTCATAGCATTACAAGAGGATAAACACAACTATGAGATGACAGCCAAAGAGTCTCTGAGGCGGGTTCTGCAGGAGAAAATTGAAGTGGTTAGAAAACTTTCAGAAGTTGAGGTATTTCAATTTAATAAATATTAAATAGTAAAATATGATTTTTAAATTTTAGCATAAAATGGCTAATATTTCAGGAAACTTGGATAGTGTTATTTAGCTAGCAAATATTTCCTGTCCATCAGGTGGGAGGGAGCAGCGAGCTGTTCTCATTGTCAGGAATTTTCAACATAACCAATAAAACTATGTGAGTTCTGCTTATGGTCCCTAGTTAGTGATTGAGGAAATAAAAGCCTGACCAGGGCATCTTACTATTTGCACTCTGCTCAGGATTCATCTTGCACACAATGGACCAGGATATGTGCCAGGGAATTATCTCCTGTCACCTTAGTTTGCTTTTCTTCCAGTTGAGGGTAATCAGTATAAAGCAGAGAATTTACACCAAATGTTTTTACTTTACCCATCCTCCAGAGAGGAAAACTAGCTGTCTTAACTTTAAAGATTCAAAGAAGAAATTATCTCTAAGGTCCTTCTTAAGTCTTTTAAACAAATGTGATATTCATTGCTTTAAAATGATCTTATTGATAACACAGGTCATTCCTTTGAACCAATGTAAAATTACCACAGAAGTTACCTGTTACTGGATTTGGTTAAAATGCCCATTGTAAACTAAATAGTATGCATACCTCCATATAGGGATAGTTTCTATAATAGCTCTATCCCATAGTGACTGATTCACTGTCCTGTCATTAACTTGACATGCAAGGAAAGAAAGTTGCTAGCTGTTTTATAACTTTCTTATTAAATTGATTGCTGCATATTATTGAACTTGCTTTTAGGAATTGAGAGGCTTAAAATTTTTTCAAGACTAAATAAACGTCCTACTCAGTGGTCTTTTAAAAGTGTAATTATATAAAGGTAGCATTCTCTCCTCCCTGTCCCTGTTTTGTTGTGTGTGTTTTTAATTCTTAGTTGTATTTTCTGTTTTAACATGCATCTGGAGTAAATTGAAATACTTGTTATTTACATGAAGTCCAGGGCAGATGTTGATTTAGAACAGCCCACAGAGTTACACTTTTTATAAATGGACTTTAGAATGTGGATTAATCCTAAATCAATTGCCTGTAAACTTGAATTGCAGCGAAGTCTGAGTAATACTGAAGATGAATGTACCCACCTGAAGGAAATGAATGAACGGACTCAGGAAGAATTAAGAGAATTAGCCAATAAATATAATGGAGCAGTTAATGAGATTAAAGATTTATCTGATAAACTGAAGGTATGTGTTTACTCAACCTGAAAGTATATTAAGTTAATTGGCCCTAACACACTGGATAGCTTACAAATTTAGGTATTGCGGAACAGTTGCTGATGTAAAATTTGGTAATTGTTGAAATTTATAGTAAAAATAAGGTGCTTATATTTAGCCCAAACCCCATTGCCATAGATAATTGAAAGTCTATAAAAGTTGACATAGTTTCTCTTAATGGAAATAAATAGTCAGTACTTCACAATAGACAGCAAAACCCAAGGTACTCAGACTTTCAAAAAATTTTTGAATCTGCTTATCTTTATTTTTTTTTTCATTTTTGCCAACATTATTTAAAAAAAAAAAACCACACATTTCCCATTAATGGTTTTAGTCAAGAATGAGAGTACAATAACATAGAAAACCTAGATTTATTTGTTAAGCTATTTATTACAAAGACAAAACAATTATCATGTGGAGTACTTTGAGGACTTCATCCCAATTTCATGTGTTCTGCTACAGAAACTGAATGAAGAGGCTACAAATGAAAGGATATAACATAACCTAAGAAGCTATAATAGAACAGACTGGTGAAACATGGTGAAAGGAGCAAAGCTAGTCAGAAGAAAGACTTGTGTTAGTATGTGTGGCTGGGATGTTTCCAAAAAGGCTCCCTAGAGATGCCTGAATGAATTAATCTGGGTCCCAATAGTAAAAAGATTCTTACCCCTGTGGAGAACGAGCAGAGGCCAGATTCATCTGAGATCTTTGTCTTTCTTTTTAAGGGCAAGGGTGTCCTTAGGCCCTAAAGGGGTCTATCTTAGATTCAGCCTCTTTTCCATCCCGTCTACCAACACCTAAGTGCCCGTGCATTTTCACCCCATACCCCTGCTAGATTACGGAAGATACATACACTGAAGGCAGGAATTATAGGCCTACTCAAAAGGTACCTAAACACAGAAAGTTTGGGGATAAAAGATAAACTACAAATACCCTCTTGGTTAAGTAAATTCACCTTGGTTTATATAGGTCATAGTTTCTTCTGCTGGTGACAACTTGTTGTCTCATACAGTCTGTCTCAAGAAAGAACTGGTTCAGGAAGTTTTGGAGAAGGAAAAATATTTTCATCAACACCCACTCCACAGAGGAAAAGGCACCAGGTTCTCTCCTACAGTTATGAGCAGAATCCCAAAGCAACATAAAATCATTTTCAGTGATCAACCACTGCATCCTCAAACTGTCCAGCAACTGTGGGTGTAGTATCTACCTCCATCCCATCTTCATAATCTCTTATTGAATCTTCTGTCTGGACTCCAGCCATGTTATACTGGCTGCTCACAGACTGAGAAAGCATTCCTTCGAATCTCTCCAGTGTAGCCTGGCCTTCGGCCATCAAGTGGAATAATCTTTCTTCATAGGTGTAAAATGTAGGCATGTCCCCCTGCCCTTGTTCATGTGCTTCCACATCATATTCTTCTCCATCATAATCATCTGAATCTTCATCCTCAGGACCTGGATGCAAAGCCTGGCATTCACACATTGCAGTGAACATTGCCTCCAATGCTGATTTATCACTAGGCGCAAATCTAAATTCAGCAATAGGTTCAACATCATCATCACTGCCTTCCTCTTCTTCATCAGTAACAGATTCTTTTGATTCTTCTTCAAATTTGGCATTCACCAAATTTCCTGTAGTTTAACATATAAATGCTCTCATGGATAGGCATTTAGGTTCCTAGACACTGCATGCCAACTAATGGTGGGGTATTCCAGTGAGAATTCCAATCCAGAGCCATCTAACCAAGACAGGCAGCTCTCAGTGATGTAAAGAGTGCCAGTGCCCAGGCCCTTCCCATTCAGCACCGCCTCGGTATCGGGCTGCTGCTGCCAGAGCCCCTCAGCCGACCCGGGTGGCGGGAGACTTTTGAGGAAGCTCATTGCGATAGTGAGGACCGAGATGCAGACCAAGAGGGAGCTGAAGCACAGCAAGACCCAGCTCACCGCATCCCACTCTGGAAGTGATCTGAATCTGTTTATCTTTAGGCAGTCCCAAAGGCAGGGCCCAGCTGTTAGTGTTGAATAAGCCCAGAGAGAACCTTGGAGTGATCTGCTTGCACCCTGTAGCTTCCCAGGGAGCCTTTGACTCTGCTTCCACTTCAGCTCTCTGTAGCTATAGGGACATATGGGATAAGGACAGACCAGACCATAGGTAACGGCAAGGTGGTCCTTTAAAATGTTATAACTGAGTTTGTGAAGACCCATCTGTATGTAATTCAAACCATGGATTGAGTGGCTAGAAGAGATAACATTTGTTAGAGAAGGCGAGAGCATACCTCTTGTTGGTCTTGTTAAAAGGAGGTTGTTTTGAAAAGTGCTTGTAACCATCATTACTGTAGTTAAACATAATTTTGTTTAAAATTTCAGAATAAGTTTTATTTTAGAACTTATAAACTAATTGCAACAATAGTAATTTCATGGGAAAACCTTATTATTTCCCCCTTTAAAGATCTGTTTTTCATTTTGACCACTTTATTTCTGTATATTGAGCCTACTTGCTTGCTACAAGTTTTTTTCTCCTATGTGATATGAAGGCATGACCCCAATGCAGATCACTTTTGACATCATTTTGCTGTTTACAAATATGTTCTATAATATTGAATATTCTCCTTAGAAGTTTTGTAAATAAAAGCAGTTCTGCTTTAGGTTTCTTAAAACAAGGTCAGGTTTTATTAAATAACTGAACTGTCTATTTCTTTCTCAACAGATAGCAGAGGGAAAACAAGAGGAAATCCAACAGAAAGGACAAGCTGAGAAAAAAGAATTACAACATAAAATAGATGAAATGGAAGAAAAAGAACAGGAGCTCCAGGCAAAAATAGAAGCTTTGCAAGCTGATAATGACTTCACCAATGAAAGGCTAACAGCTTTACAAGGTAAATTAGCTCACCCAGAAATAGATTTAATTTGATTTTTTTTCTTTTTATCTGTGAAATATCTTTTTCTTGGACTTTTATTTACAGTACGGTTAGAACATCTTCAGGAGAAAACTCTTAAAGAATACAGCAGCTTAGGTAGGTGTCATCAAACTTCTTAATTAAAGCTGAATTTTATCATTAAACTTTTGATGTTTACTATCTCACACTGGTTACTTATTTTCTTTAAGAGTGATATTTTACATATCCGGTATAAAGTATCTACACTCTTTCATAAAATTTCCTTTAAAAATATGCTTGATTGCCACCAGTGGGCACCATTGTTTAATCCTTTGAGATGAATGAAATTTTTGCATCTGAGATATTCCACTTAGAGATACTTAAATGAGAAAAATACATGACCAGCAGGATCCTTTTTATTTTTTTTTTATTTTTTTTTTTGAGGTTCATTGGAAGACTACTAAACAGTTAGTCTTTTCTCTGAGTTGATAGAGGATGGCAAGTTGGACACTTCTTATAAAAATAAGTGTGAAGTGTTAGTAGGAATACAAAATGCCATGGTTACACGAGAGACCAGTTTTAAAGTAATCCTTTCTTTGATCAGGCAATGATACACTGTCTTAATCCTAGGGATACAAGTTGATGACTTCTTACCTAAAATAAATGGAAGCACAGGAAAAGGTAGTGTAAAACACTTAAATATTTTTCTTTCATGATATCCTTTTATTTAATCAGGATAGAGAGGTCAGGTTTTTATGGTTTTAATTGTTTGGAATGAAAGCATGCTGTTCATAGACCATTCAATTCCTTTGTTTTGTAATTCTTAATGTTGTAATCTATGGTTGGGTATCCTTTGTTACATGGAAATTCTGATTATTCGAATAATAAGAAAATAATATGACTTTCCCCCCCACTATATTTTTCAAAGAACTATACTATTATTTTCTTTTATCAAGTACTGCTTCCTGGGGATAATTGCTCCCCCCCCCCTCTTTTTTTAAATATATTTTTATTGATTTCAGAGAGCAAGAGAGAGGGAGGGAGGGAGAGAGAAACATCAATGATGAGAGAGAATCATCGATCGGCTGCCTCCTGCATGCCCCCTACTGGGGATTAAGCCCGCAACTTGGGCATGTGCCCTGACAGGAATCTAACCATGACCTCTTGGTTCCGTAGGTTGATGCTCATTTTTTATATTTGTGCCTCAGCCAAGAGTTTACTTAACAGCCTATTGAGCCCTTGAACATGTCATAGAAATTGCTTTTTTTATCCATTTATTTCATAGATCAGAGAAAGCAGGGCCAGTAATTCTGCCATCTGAAAAATCCTTTATTAGTTCATGATACTATGATCCTTTTTGTGGATAGTTTGGGTAATCTCTTGCCAAAAATCTATAGCCACTATTGGTTTTCTTCCTATAACATGGAGTAGTTTTACCCAGGCTTCTAAATTCCTTCACTCATCAATATACCAACATACTCACTCCTCCCTTCCCCATCTATCCAACTTTAACTGAGTACCAAATAAGTGCCAGATTCTGCATTAGATGGTTGGAGTATAGAATGAATAAACCTGTTTTCTGTGTTTGCAAATCTGTGTGCCTCTCAGCTCAGTTTTTATACAGATGTTAGTAGAAGATATCAAGGTTGATACCCAGAACTTCTTAAGTATTTTTTTCTTGTATAAGGGGATATCTTTCTAGTTCTTAGGCAGCAACTAAACTCTGATAAAGTTAGAAGGCACTTTTTTTTTGTTTATTTTGCTTTTATTTGTTTTTTAATCAAGTACTGGCAAAATAGGCTCAGGTAATCGTGTTTATGTAAGCTGCAAAGTCAAGACCTAATATTGAATATGTAATGAATTTTGAAACTAAATTTTTAAAAAGTTTCACTAATCATTGTTATTTGACTGGTCTTTGTATAAAATATATTGACATTTTAAAATTCCAATTTGATTGAGTTTCAACTTGAGAACTTTAAAGGTGTAGTTTTATTCATTGTACTTTTTTCTGTCTCTTAAGTATATTAAGCAAACAAATGTAAAATGACTTAAGTGGTCTAAAAGCTTGTCATCCTTAAATGATTTTGTTTTCTGTTATTATTTTGCCTTTTTATTATCTTTCTGGCATGTACATTTTTTCAAATTCATCACCCTTTTGATTTAGCATGCATTTATTTAATATATTAGTGTTCACTCAAGCTGAGAACATTCCATTTCTTCAGTTAAGAGATTCCTTGAATATATACTGAACCATCTTTATACTATTTAGAGTTGTCAAATTACTGCTTAAATTTTTTTGCCAGTTCCAAATGATGTATATGAGAATACTTGTAGATAACTCCTTGATTTAAGACTGAATAAGAGATTTGGGATACTTTAAGGTATTCCTTGCTATTACTATTTTTCCCTGCTGGTGTGTTTGTTTTTGAATGGTGATAAGTTGAGTAGAGTGAGAGTGACTAATGGAATATCTTTAAAGAAACGGAGTAGTAAATATCTGGATATGCACAAAAACTTCATTATACCAGATTTAGTTACAGAGTGGATTTTGGAATAAGATGGATCTGTTCTGAATTATTTGTGATAAAATAACAAACCAGTTATCAAGTATTCCAATGTTACCAAAGTCCATAGCCATAATGGGCTATCAGACATGATTTTAACTAAAATTACTCTATAAATAATAGAAAGACAGCTAAATATAGAAGTAAGAGAATATTTCAAAAATGCCTAGAGATGTTAAGATTAAAACTTCTATAAACTCCATTTTTGAAATTAAATCTAACATAGCTACTAGAAGTACAGGTTTGAACTATAAATTTTAAATATATTTTCTAATAAGCATAATTTGAATATATTTTAGAGGGTCTAGAAAAGCACTGTCTAATACATTTTTTTTTTCTTATAGCCACTTTCAGGGACCTTAATAACTTCAATGTCTGTAAGACTCATAACATGGCTTTACTATTGCCAGCTTTCTCTAAATTTCTGAGAAAAACGAGAGCCACATACATAATTTAAAATTTTTAAAAATTTTAAAAAATTAAAAATTTCACTACATTGAAAATATAAAAAGAAACAGGAAAAAATTTAATAATATTGTTAAATAACTCACTATATCAAAAATGTTGTTTTAACATGTAGTCAATATTAAAAGATTATAAATTAAGTATTTCACATTCTTTTTTCTTTAATAAGTTTTTGAAATCAGTCTATATTTGTTTTACACTTAAAGCACATCTCATTTTTTAAGGGCTCAGTAGCCACAAGTAACTAATGGCTACTATATTGGACAACACAGGTATAATCAATAATCAATAAAAATCCATAGGAAATTCATATGTATAAATAAAATGCATTTTAAGTATCGTGGATCTCTATTATGTTTCTATATCTGTCTTTTTCTTTATATCCCTACAACCCTATTTAGTGTCATAGACACACCACACTCCTTTTGGATTATCACTAACATCTTTTATAGTTTTGGCAAACTGAGTTCCCAAGGGCCAGAATTCAAATAATAGGGTATTAAAAGTGTCATGATACAATCCTTTATATATATTATCTGAAAGACATTTCTCTAATGTATCTCAGGAGATGGCTTTGTGGAAGTCATATGTATATTTATCTTTTCATATTAACCTTGTATTTTATCTAAACTGGTATAGTAAATATTTTCATGTAGAATCCTGATATTAAAATCAGAGTAGATGAAAGGGTGATTTTTGGCTTGGTGACTAATGGTGGGATGTCCTGCATTAATTAATGTCATCTAAAGTCCTGTGATGTTAGTTTGAAATTTGGTTTCAAGTAAGTTTTATGAAGTCCTTTAGTTTGGTTTCAAATGAGTTTTCATATTTAACAGTGATATTTGTATAGTTTGAGTTCTAAAAAATGTTATAGTTCAGATAGGATTTATGTAAAACAGCTTTTTTTTTATCTTGGTAATTGCTATTGAATTGAGCGATCCTGTTTTGGATTTTTTGGCTCCAATTGGCAAATGCTATTTATTAGACATTTTTTAAATTTCAGATTTCTGTTGCAGTTAGTCTTTTTCTTTTTGGGGACTATATTGTATCTGTGTTCTGGATATGTAAGGCATTGGTCTCTAAAACATTTTCACAATCTTTCTTCCTATGTTTTTGTCTTATACTGAGGGTGCTTATAGACTCTGCACACATGTAACTAGATAAAAGAAAGTGAAGAAGGTTGTCAGTAAGGATGTCAAGGGGGCTAACGAGTGATCAGGGTAGGAGATTTCTGTCCCTCAAGCAAAGTTGAGATGAAGGGTGAGGAAGAAGAAGGAGAAGAGAAAAAAGGATTTTACAGAATGGTACTAACTCATTTCCTCTTTTGACAGGTTGTAGTGCTTTCACACCTTCCAGATAGTCATCATGTTGGAGTATATTTTTAACACTTGAACTTCTCAAAGATAAAAATATGTAATTGAAAGATGTTATCCAGATCTAGAAATTAACTATTTGAATCAAAGTAAAGACTATTGTAATACAAGAACTAAAACTTTTATTAAACTACTGTGTTAGATTTTGATTCTCTGCACCCATTAAAAACCAAAAACCAAATTCTGTTTGACCTGAGGAAAACCATTTACCAAGCTCTTATTTTCAAATATGCAGGCATTCATTTTAATCATTTGGACAGAAATAAATAATGTAGTGCTTTGATAGTACGTGAAGTACAGATTAAAAGGCTCAAAAGGTAAGATTGGCCCTGGTCTGGTGGCTCACATGGTTGGAGTGTTGTCCCATACACCAAAAAAGTTGTAGTTTGATTCCCAGTCAGGGCATATTACTAAGTTTTGGGTTAAATCCCCAGTTGGGAGGCACCTGATTGGTGTATCACTCTCTCTCTCTCTCTCTCTCTCTCTCTCTCTCTCTCTCTCTCTCTCTCTCTCTCTCTCTCTTATTTTCTCTCTCTCTCTCTCTTTCTCCCTCTCCCTCTCCCTCTTCTCTTCACCTCTAAAAATCAATGAAAAACATATCCTCGCATGAGGATTAAAAAGAAAATTATGTTTTAAAAAAGGAAGACTGAAATGAAAGTTTAAAAATTAAAATATTACATCATTTTCTTTAAAATTGTAAAGGTATTCTTAAAATATCTTTTCCTCTTAACTCAGATGAATAGTTTCAAAGAGGGACTGTTAGAGAACAGTTATTTGAAAATGTATTTAGTAAGAACAAATGCAAATTTTGAAATTAAGATTATTTATTAAGCTCTCGTAGAGAAAAGTATGTTTTTAAAGTGTTACAAAGTTTTTAAAGCAATATTTTTCTATGGTTTTCTTGAACACTTTGGATAGAAACTGCACCTTTAAAAGCTAACCATTCAGGGCATAAAATAATGATTATATAACTACAATTTTTAGCCATTTCACTTTAACTCCAAAAATGTCTGCTGTTAGTATTAAAATATATTAAACTTTTATTAATGGCATTCAGAATTACCCATGTTGAAACAATTCAGTTTTTCTACCTTTGCTGTTGATTTTCAAAAACAGCAGCAAACTATATCCTTAAAGGTGTTTCTTTCTTTATTAGAGCACTTGCTTTCAAAGAGTGGCGGGGACTGCACTTTTATTCATCAATTCATAGAATGCCAGCGTGAGTACAGAGTATTTTTCACATCGATTTTAATGAAGTGAGGGGCTGAAATTGAAAAATGAGAGGGAGAATGAAGATCTCAACATGTTTGTTATTGTGGTGGTGCGCAAAGGACCATCTTCAGACAGCAGTGAACCCCTTCACACTGTTTATGTTTCTCTCTTTTGAGAAAAATATTTCTGTTGCAATATGAACATTTCATATGGCCCACAAAAACAAAGAGAAAGTTTCAAACTTGTTAATTAAAAATCATTGTTGAGCGGGAAAGAAAATAGAATGTCTACACCTAAGCTTAAGAGAGAGGAATATTAACCTGTTTTATTAGGGCTTAAGTCACAGATTTGGATTTTGAGGTTCTTAAATAAATTTCTTAAATGATGCATAAAAACAATGGTTTACTTTAGGCACTCAGGTATGAAAATGACCTTAGGGTAGCAGGAGCTTTCTAGGGAAGGAGTGGCAACAGATTGTCCTATAGTCTGACATGAACTACCTCCCCTTGGGCTACCTTCAATAATATTTTTAAAATAGATAGGTTCACTTTTGAGGTGATTTATACCTATGCTGAATTCCGAACACAAGTATTGTGAATTCCCTCTTACTTGAAAATTATGTGGCTACTTAAATTTATAACAGTCACAAGCTTGAGATAGTGTCTTTATCTCGTTAGTGACAATTAAAGGTCACTGTGCATAGTAAAATTCATTGATGACTTCTATACTTTTTCTTATCAGACACACACTTTGTCAGGCATTTTTCTCTTCCTCTTTACTCTCTTGTTTTTGAAATGAGTGGTTTTTTCAAGTTTCTATGCGCATGAATTCACTTAGTGGGTGTGCATGCATGTGTGGTATGCTTCCCTCCCACCCCATCTAAGGGTATTTGAGGTTATAAGGGTTACTCCTGGTAATTATAGCAGACATTAGCTCAACAGATCAAATGTTATACTCCTTAGAGATGCTTTAAGGGATTTCATTTAATAGTGTTACAAGAGCTTCTGTTTTAGTCCATTTTAGAGACTATAATATTGAGTGTAAGTTTAATATTACTTTGAGGCAAATGATTTAATAGATATGACATCTCTTTCTCCTTTAAAATTTTATAAAGCAAAAATAAGTGCATCTTTTTATCTTTTGATAACTATCACTTTTACAGGAAATTGGCATAGGGATTTGGGGCAAAATAATTGGTACCCACTGAAACCAACTTAGAGCAGAGTATATAATATAAACTATAAATCTTTAGGAGAAGGATTTTATACTTAGTTTTATTGCATGTGACCATTTTTTAATGTTATTTTTATTTTGACTTTTGGGATTTATATTTGAACGCAAAGATAAATATAACTATCTTTTTGACTTTGGGGTTTTATATTTGAACGCAAACAACTACCAAAGGAATGTTATAGTAAGTTACAATTTGCAAAAATAACTTAAAATATTATAAAATGTGTAAAGTATTTACCTGTAGTTGTAATGCAGAACAAAGTTTGTATTAAAACAAAAAACAAAAAACTTTGGAAACTTTTATTGGGTTACAGGGAGAAAATGAACCAAATAAACATTCAGAGGTAGAGCAGAAGTTGAGTAAATTACAGCAATCCCCTCAATGGGGATATTAGCCAATAAGATGTTTATGGGAACTGTGTAATGGCATGCATGGTAAAATGCTAAATGTGGTACATGGGGATTGGGGCTGGTGGTGGATAAGAATTAAAGTCTTGTTCTTATGGAAAAAGAATGAACCAAAGAATGGGGGACAAGTATTTCTAGACATTTGAATCCATTTGGTCTCTGAGTGCAAATAGTGCAGGTTTGGACTGTGGGTTCAGGTAGCTAGGGATATAGCCCATTATATGAATGTGTTTGGTTCCTGAGTTTCAGTAGCAAGAGTTTGGTTAATGAGAATACCAGTTTTATATTAAAACTAGGGGCCCAGTGCACGAATTTGTGCACCTTGAAAGGAACTGTGGGCCACGAGGCTGCGGTGGGCACAGGGGCGGGTCTTGGCCCATCCTCTACCTTGGCAAGCCCCGCTCCCACTGCTGCTGCCCCCAGTGGCGCAGAGGATTGGGGACGGCGCCAACAATGGGTACGAGCAGGCACTGTCAGTAGGTGTGAGCAGTGGCTGCTGCCCCGATTGCCCCTCAGGAGCAGGGGGAGGTTAAGAAACCCTCAGAGGCGATTGGGGCCAGCAGCTGCTGCTTACACCTGCTGAAGGTGCCAAGCAATCAGCACCAGCGCCGTGTGTGTGTGAGCGGTGGCTCCGGTGCCGGCTGTGGGTATGAGTGGGGCCGGCTCTGGCCGTGGCTCTGGCACTGGCAGCGGGTGCGAACAGGGCCGTGACCAGCAGTGGGTGCGAGCAGCGGCTGCCAGCCCTGATCACCCCTCAGGAGCAAGGGGAGGTGGAGAAGCACTGAGGGGTGATCGAGGGCGGCAGCCGCCACTGATAGCGCTGAGTGATTAGGGCCGGCCCTGGGATCCGGCAGCGGGTGTGAGCAGGGCTGGCGCCAGCAGCAGATGCAACCACCGGCAGCAGATGTGAGCGCCAGCATGACTATGATGCTTGGGAGCAAAGAATTTTCAGTAACCACCAGAGGCTCACCCAGATGACAGCAACTGGCCTCCTGCCTTGGTCTGGTGCCCCTGCTCACCTGCTCCACCATCCTGCCATGGCTGATGCCCGCCATGTTCTGTGCTCTGCTGCCTGCTGCTGATGCCTGCCATGTTTCACATGTGCCCCCTGGTGGTCAGCACATGTCATAGCAACTGGTTGTTCGGTCGTTCCGCCGTTTGGTCTGTTTGCTTATCAGGGTTTTATGTATATAGATTTTCCAAATATGTTTTGTTCCTTAAATTTGGATAGCCAGAGTTGGCATAGTAAGGGTTATCTCTAGTTCGATTTGTTGTTACAGGGGACATTTTCATTATTTTATGACAAGCTGCCATTATAAAAATTGTTGCGTGTAATAAGTATTATGGCAAGCAAGGCAATTTCAGCAAAAATCTTCAAGTGAACTTCTGAAATAATTTTGGATTATTTTTTGACAAGCACATAAAAACTTTTTACTATTATTTTTATTGATAGGCATCTTGAGCTGATTTATGATCTTGAACATGAAATATATATTCTGTGAGCAGAGATACTTCATGTTCTTGTTTCCAATCTTTTAGAAAGCGAATGTTAAATACCTAGCTTTCATTATTTACTGTACTTGTATACTAGATTCACCTGTGTTTTAAAAATTAGAAAGCCAATAGTTCACTTCTGTAGGATTCTGCATGTCTGTTTTTAATTTATTGAGAGATTCTTTTCAGTTTATGTGTATGAATCTATAAGAGACAGTATGGTTAGTGGCTCTCTCCATTATAAAGTAATTTTGAGGAAATTAATGGAGTTGGAGCACATTTCTATTTGTTTTCTTTTTATGGTAAAACACACTGTGTTTCTTTTTATTCTTTTTAGGAGAAAAGCTTTTAATCCCAGGCAAAGAGATTAGATTTGAACAGACTTTATAAATATAACCTTTTGCATAATTCCAAAACTGTGAAGTAAATTTTCTGTATAAAAATACACTATATAAAACCTACAATTAACCAGTAACTTTAATAAAATTTGCTAAAAAGGCCTAGCAATATTTCCTTCAGAGTTTCAAGCATGAGGTTTAAAGAGAACTTCACATTCTATGTTCCCTGCAAATTTTAGTTACTCAAGGTTTACCATGAAACTTAATGTATTGAGACTTTTGTGTTCCGCTAAAGATGCTTTCTCAGTTAAATTGTGCATCTCTAACTCTGTTTCATATGTATTTTTGAACTCTATCACTTGATTAACTTGTATTCTGAGTGAAAAGATAAAGGGTAAAAGGGGGAGAATCTGAGGACATGGAGACCTGCCATTACTTAGCCTTCTCTGGACCTTGACTCATTGCTCTTCCTACTGTTTGTCCAGGAGAGGGCAGAGGCATCAATGCTGGATGCCTGAGGAACTTTCCTCTGAGGACTCCTTTGTAGAGTTAAATTATGCCCTCCCCCAAGGGCATCTCCCTTTTGATGATGGTCAAAAAGTGCCCTGAAATAAACCTCATGTCTTTGAATTCTTTGTTTTTTAAATTTTATTTTTATCACCATTTATCTACACCGGGGTCCTCAAACTTTTTAAACAGGGGGCCAGTTCACTGTCCCTCAGACCGTTGGAGGGCTGGACTATAGTTTAAAAAAAAAACTATGAACAAATTCCTATGCACACAGCGGCGGCAAAAACACCCAGCAGGCCGGATAAATGTTTTCGGCGGGCCGCAGTTTGAGGACCCTTGATCTACACCTTCTTCCACCTCCACCAACCCCCCTCCATCTTTGAATTCTTAATCTGTGCTTATTAGAAGACTTAACGGTTTTTATTGTTATTAGGCAAGAGTCTATCTAATTCTCTTAATATTTCATGTCTTACTGGGTTTTTTTTCTAATTTTTGAAAACATTTTTTAATGGTTTCAGAGAGGAAGGGAGAGGGGTAGAGAGACATGAGAGAGAATCATTGATCGGCTACCTCCTGCAGGCCCCACTGTGGGGATCAAACCTGCAACCTGGGCATGTGCCCTGAATGGGAATCGAACCATAACCTCTTGGTTCATAGATCAGCACTCAACCACTGAGCCACTTCAGCTGGGTGATTTTTTTCCCTGACTTAAAAAAAAATTCTCTCCCTGCCTCCCAGTCCATTTTGAAATCATAGTCACTATCTGTGTATGTCATTCCCTTCTCCCTTCTTTTAAGGCTTTGCTCTCACATAGAAATTGCCTTATGTGGAGTGATGAATGCATCGAATCTCTTGCTCTTGTGATTGTTTTCATCACTATGAGATCAGTCTCTCTGAACAATCTTTGGATTATTCTGATTACATATTCTACTTAAAACATATTTAAATTTTTCATGTTTTAAACTTTTATTTTCCTCAGCCAAAGCACTTTATTTATGACAAAGAATAGAAAAGACTTGGTGTG